CTGCCTGTTCTGCTCCCTACTCTGTCCCTGGTGAATCCTCTCACCCTCCGCATCTCTGGCCTGTACCCCAGTTCTGTATGCATAAATAAATCTTACAATAATAAATAAATTTTTAAAATATTTATTCATTTATGCATACAGAACTGGGGTATGGGCCAGAGGTGCAAGAGTGGTGAGAGTCTTCACCAGAGATAGAGTGGGGACAGAACAGGCTGAGTGAGGAAGTGTGCTGCTGAGGGGAGCAGCGGGCGAGTCAGGAGAGGTCTGCTGTGCCATGGGGGTCACCTCCGGGGCGGGGGAGGGGGGGGTTGAACTTACACTGAAACAGCTGCGGCTAGCTTGCAATGCTGTGTCCTAACCAGTTGGGCCACCAGGGAGGGCCAGACTAGGTTATTTGTGAAGGGGTGTTGTCACCATTGGCTCCATACCGCCACTCCAGGCAGCTCTGACCTTGCAGTCACTCCACTCACTTGCATACACTGTCACCTGCAGATCAAGTTTAGGGAATTCTTAGAAGCCCATTGTTAGAAGGAGGGAGGAAGAGGCTGAGAACAGCCAGAGTCACAGGGCAGTGTATGAAGGGCTAGCCCATCTGCCGAACTCTGTCCAGTCTCTCAGACTAGGCCTGGTGGAGCTGTACTCAAGAGGTAGCTGCTGCCTAGTGGAGAGGTAGGCTTCCATGTTCACTTCCTTGGTGAGGAAAGTGGGTCCCAAGAAGGAAGTGGCTGGCTTGGGGCCCTGGCCTGTGCGGTCAAACTTTGCAATCACCAAGCGTTGTGCAGCAGGAAAAGTCACAGAAGGTACAGACTGCTTCTGCTTCTACCTGCTGGGGGCAAGACAGGACTGGGCAGCTGCAGCCTAAACAAAGGTTTATACCACCAAGAGAAGGAAGCAGTGGGCTATGCCTGGGCAGGCTAGCAGCAGTCAGCCGGAGGCTGAGGAGGGAACATGCCGCTCCTGCCCAGAGCTGTAAAGCCTCTTCCTGAAGCCTTGAGAGACAGCTTGCAGCCTGCCGGGCCCCTTCTCAAGGAAAGGGAGGTCCAACCTTGCCTCCCAGCATGGATGGCAAGGCCCGGGGTCTTGCACCTAATGGGCCTCCCAGAGGAAGGGACTGCACTGCTCGCTTCCTGGCACCCTGACCAGAGGAGACACCCCTGTGCCACATGATGGTGTGGCTCCAGACTGCTGCCTTCCAGCCGGCTTCTGATCCAATGTGGGTGCAGACTTGGCCTCTGCGAACCCTGGGAAACTGAACGATAGCCCAAAATACAGCTTCAATTTGAGGTGGACAGAATTTGAGTAATCATTTTCAAAATCCATATTTTAAAATCACTTTTTAATGTTTCAAAACGGAAGCCAGGGGTGGACTGATCTAGGCATGGTTCACATTTTACAAAATGACTTTTGTACTAGCTAGAGTGCCTGCAGACTCTTCCTTTCTGATCATCACTGACTACTTTCTTCTGCTTTCCC